TGTACATCAGAAAATGCGCCTTGAGGCATGGAACATATGTACCAAATATGCCAAAGATGTCTACAAAATTATCTCAGTTATTATTAAAAAACTGATTATTTTTGAAAACTTTGCCACCCTGTATCTCAAAAGTTAAGGCGTTTAGGACATACGTCCATAGGAAGTTTTTTTCTTAAAATGGGTCTAAGAATAACCTCCTTGAATATTAGCATGTGTTTGAGGAACACCCTGTATATTTTTGAGTATTGACTCAGGTAGTATGATACTAACGAATCTCAGGAAAATATTTTTTGACTCATCGGCAATGAGTCATTGAACTATGAATTACATGGAATAGAAAATAAATTGGAATATAGTAAATTGGTGGATGTAGCCGTTACTACGTGGTAGAGAATTATAATGAATCTAAAATTAGTACCTACACTCAAGTAAAAATGTTTTGAACAAAAAAATAAAATACTACTCTGCGACGCACTGGTACTATCTCATGTCAACTATGCTGATACTGTTTATGGTCCAGGACTCTTGAAATCTGACAGGCAGAGACTTCAAAAACTGCAGAATGGGGAATGTTCCTCCTAACGAAAATCAAGTAGTTTTCATAAAAGAGTTCTAAAACAACGCATTTTAAACTTATCATTTCAACCTTATAGTTTCAACCTTTCTCTTTAAAAAATTATTTAAATACTTAAAAAAGAGGAATGAAATAATGCATTCAACATTTGAAGGGATTCGTTTCTACTTCACCATTTGGCAACACCGGTTATAGCTAATAAAGGACAATGAATCTGTACCTGTATGAGACAAACATAGATGACATATTTCAGAGGCGTGCTGTTCTGTTTACTTATGTTCCGTGTTCCGAGACATTCTGTGACATATCACATTTTGTGCACCTAACCTATCTTCCTCTATATAAATAAATAACAAACCAACTGTTGTTCATGTGGCGTGTGGAGATGGAATTGAACTATAATTCATATTGTGCCTCAATTGTTTATTTATAAAGATGATTTTTCTTTTTCAAAGTAGAATATCTAGGTACGTATGAATTATTTCAACTTGATATAGGCGCTGTTGCTAATATGTAAATTAGAAAGAAATTCCTTCAAAAATAATATGAGTTATCTTTAACTGGTTGGATGGAAGAGCAATTTCTGTGTTGATTTATCATGCGCAGACGTTGAATTCTGCCATTTGTTAGGTTAGATTAGTGTCTCCTGTACTGAGTAACCTTTCAATAAAAGCATTTATCATTATTGTTATTATTAAAATTGAAACTTTCTATGTTTTTTACAATTTTTATTTGTAACTAATATACAGGGTAGTCCACCACAGTCGCCTCGGTATTTCTACGGGAAATGAAGATAGTTAGGGAAAAACTTCCACCACAGGTATATGTGGGTCCATGAGGAGCATATTCCAAAATTATTTTGAAACATACAGGGTGACTCCCAAAAAAGTTACATACCAAAGTTATATTTTTTCTTATGGAACACCCTATATTTTTTATATTTTTAGATACTATAAACAAAATGAAATTGAGTTACTATTATATTTCCTATACTTGAAACTTACCGTTTGTGAGAAATTTCGAGAAATTTAAAAATACAGACCAAAATTTAAAAATTGTTTTCACCCTGTAATGTGTAACGAGCTGCTCGTGATCAAATGTACTTCTTAGCTCAAAGGTTAAAGTTGGAAACACATTTAATTGAATAACTTCTCAAAGTTGAATGGAACACC